TTGACGATTGCAGGGAACTTGGTATTGGGATAGTGCCCTGTAGCCCTCTTGGTCATGGCTTCTTTGCTGGGAAGGCAGTTGTGGAAAGTCTGCCTAAAGAAACTAGCTTGGTATGACCTTGCTTCTGGCTCAGTACTTCTTTTTAAATATGTTTTAGAATTTTGTTAGCTATTGTACAGAGAAAAGTTGTGAAATTTCCAATCTATCAAGCACCCTATGCCTCCTCTCCCCTTCCCCTTAAGAAGTATTGGTATGAACTGGGCCCGGGTCTATGATTGTTTTAGTTACGTAGGGGGAAGTAGAAAGGAAATTGATAGCCTCCGTCCACCCATGCCCCAGCTCAATAACCTATCCCACACTCACATGAGACACCAACTAAAAAAAAAAGGACAAGTTGGAAATACTATGTCTTATCTACAAATTATCTAAGAATTTTGTTTGTGATTTTGCATGTACTGAAAATCCTTTTGTCTATTATAAACATTTGCCACAATTCTCCAACGGGAAACAATTGTGGTGGGTTTCTGTTTGTTACTTTTCACATAGAATTGGATTTTACTTTAACTTGCACCTCTTTTGCTTCAAAACAGGTTGCTCATCGAAGGTTTAAAGGAGATAACTTTGAGAATAATAAACTTATATATATGCGCACTGCTAAGTATGACTGTACCCCCACTCAACTGGCTCTTGCATGGGTTCTCTATCAATGCGATGATGTAGCTCCTATTCCAGGTTATGCTCCTATTTTTCCTGTATTTATTAGACTATCAATCGGCATATGGGAATGTTGAAAGTCCATCTTTAATTATGTTAAAATCAATTTTACAATCCAGTGGACATGGAAAATACCGATCCTATTGGGGTCATTGCTAGGCATTTCATGGAGGGGGAAGAGGACCTGACGTTAGGGGCACGGTGCTTCTGGCAGGGTCCCTCTCTCTCCACTGCTGCCCATTTCATTGGACAGTCATGACCCACTATGATTTTCTGGTAGTCCAGTGGACAATGGCATGCTTGCCCTTGGAGATAATGCATCTTATACAACAAGAATGTCTTACTTATGAAAGTGACATGGTTGTCATTGGGCCCTTCAAGATGAGACTGGTTTTGTTTTTTGTTATATCTATTTTTCCTTAATGGTTGTCCAAGTGAGCTAATGATAGACCCGTTAAACTGGATTGCCTTTGCAGGGACAACTAAGATTAAGAACCTTGATGAGAACCTTGGGTCCCTGAAGTTGAGGCTCACAGTTGATGATATCAAGCAAATTACTGACTCAGTGCCACTTGACGAGGTTGCGGGTTCTAGAACCTATACTAACATGTACAATTCCACTTGGAGGTTTGCAGATACTCCTCCAAAAAGATAGCAGGCCCTGAACAATTTATCAGAAAGTAAAAAGATCCCAAGATCTCAAACGGTAAAAGCCATGTTGTTTTTGATTTTCTGAGGGTTCACCTTTTGTGGGTCTTGTGTAATTTTTCTGATCATTGACGGAACTGATCTACTACAAAAAATCTATATCATGACACTGTTATTTATTCTCTGCTTTTTTCAAAAAAATATTAGTGCTGTTTTATATGCTGAAAAAAATGAGGATAAAAATTGGACCAGAGCATGTGGCTGTCTCAAACGATATTACAAGCATGTTCTTCCGTCAGAACTGCAACAGAAATTACCAGCACGACTTGTTGAAATTATAAATAGGAAAATTTATCAAAATACCTGTGAGAGTTGAACCATATAACATTTTATCCATATAGTTTGATTTAATTGCAAAATATCTATCATAACTCACATGATCATGAGTTTGAATAGTTGCAAATGTGTAAAATAATAAATAGTGTATCTCTTGTGGGTATTTTGATAAATTTCTGAAATAAATGTAACTTGGTCTTCTTTGTGGGGATGGGCCTAGTGCTTGATTCAAATTGAAAATTCTCTGTCGGGTAGTGTTTTAGAAAACGGCGAGCCAAATTGGAATTGTTGGGTTGGTTTTGGTCGGTGGGCGATCCAAGAGTGTGACCCCTGTAATCTTTCAATTCTCACCCCTTCTTTTATTATTATTTCGTTAGGATAAAGCTGGAAAGATGATGATTTACCTTGATCTATTTACTAGAAGCCAAGGGCAACACCCAATTCTAGGTTTCAAAAAACTGCTTCAGAGAGGAAAACATACGCATCATCTCCGGAACTCTTTTCTAATGCTTCACGGTGGAAGTAAATGATGTTTGATTAGGAGTATAAAGTGGGGCAAGTGACTTGTAATAGTAGAGTAGGGAGTTTAGGTAAGAGGGGCGTGTTTTTTTTTTCGATGTAGTTAGGGCCGAGGATGTATAGTCCATCTTAAACAATTGAAATCAGGTGCACTTTCAAACTCCACTGGTTTCGGTGTCGGAAACTTTACAAGGATCTTAAAATCTATTAGGATTATGTATTATGAGAACATTTATTTTTTATACAAGCATATCACAATCACTTTTAGCCATTGGATGTAAAATCTAATAGATAAAAATATTTGAGAATTTTTATTTTAAATTTTGTGTTCAAACATTGACACAATCTCAACCACTCTATTTCAAATCTAGGTCAATGATGATTGTGTATAAAAAATAAATGGTTATATTGTATACATTTCCTAAGCAAAACTTTTGAGAAATGGATTTCAGGAGGGCCTAAGTTTTGGTGTGTCCATGGCTATCCTAAATACTTTTCTACTAACTAAAGGTATCATATAAGGTATCAATTTAATGTTGTAGAAGTATGTGCACCTCAAAAATCCACTCGAAAAGATCGAGATGTATAAATATAGAAAAGTGAGACGGAGATTCCAATAGAGCATCTTATGATACATTATTTTGGTGTAAGGAGGGTGAGGATTTTAAACTTTTCCTTAACTCATCCCAAACCCGGGTATAGGAGTTGGGTTGCGTTAGGCAGTCAGCGTAAAATTTTGCCACATCTTATTATAAATTCAGAACCTATGCTCTTGATAGAGAAGAATAGATGAATAAAATTCATGTAGCTGACCTTAATTAATTGGAATAAGGTTTGATTGATGATGACGATGATGATTATAATGATCTTATGATATATTATTTGAACAATTCATTTCAAGATTTTCAAGTGTTATTGTTTTGCTTGATTTACACAATCTTTGGAACTTAAATTTTATAAGGAAATGTATACAATGAGAGTATTTACGTTTGATACAAAAAGCACAATTATCATTGACCTAGATTTGAAATAGGGTGGTTGAGAATGTGTCATTTTTTGGGCACAAAGTATAAAATAAAAAAAATTTGAATATTGTGACACACTTTCATTTATTGAATTTCACATCTAATCGCTAAAAATGATTGTGATCTCGTTATACTAAAAATAAATAGTCTCATAGTATACAATCTTTTTGGTACCAAAATATCACAATCATCATTGACCCAGCTTTGAAATAAGTGGTTGATGATGTATCATTATGCATAAAGCTCAAAAATAATTATCGAATGTTGTGATACACTTTTATTTATTGGATTTTACTTCTAATAACCAATACTTTTATCTGTTGGATTTTACTTCTAATAACTAAAAATGAGTATGTTCTCTTTGTACCAAAAAAAATAGTTTCGTAGTATACAATTAAATAATATATCTTTCATGAGTAATTTGATGAACTTCTAAAAGAAGATGAGCCAATGTACCCGGGCCATATAATGCCCCAATATGTCAGGACTGACATTATATTCCCATTTTATGAAAAGAAGTTTAAACAAATAAATCATAAATGATTTTTTTTCTCCTTTTTCTTTAATGTATCAAATGTTTTTAATTTTTTTTTTTTCAAAATATCCATAAGAGACGAGATTAACTATTTAACATTCTTCCTATTTAAACCCCTTCCAACTTATGATTATGTGTTTTTTTTTATCAATATTTTAAAATTAAATCAAAAGGCATAAATAAAGGTATTAAATTGTTCATATCTCATAGATAATTTGATATATTTCCCTTTGTTTTTTTTTGGTCCCTAAAAACCATTTTCAAATAAAATCTCAAAAGAATATTAAAAACCTCTTCGTAGAACATCGAGAGAGGTAAGAGTTTCTATTTCCTGCCAATATTCAAGAAAAATCAATTTTGGAAAAGAAGCAAAATATATAAAGCATGAGCTTTTTATAAAGAGTAGGCATTAATAAAATAAACCCTCACCTCAAATCCTCTTCCCAAAGCACTTCTCACAAGAGAAATCTCCATGATGACTCTAGAGTCAATTTTCAACATCGACAATGAAATTTGAAACTAAAAAAATAGTACATATCTTGTAAATCAATAAAACTTATTTTTAGGATGAAATGGACGATTTAGATAAGAAAAAATATAGAATGAGAGTATTTACTTTTAATACAAAGTGATCACATTAATCTTGATCGTTGGATGTGAAATTGTTTAGCTGCAATTATTCTATCGACCAAGCTCAAATTGATATTTTTTTTTTGGAACTTTGCGACATATCCAAGCTTGCATACAATCCATTTAATTCGTTACAATAGGCACTAGAGTTTGTAATCTTTTTTTAGAGCCTGATGCTCTAAACAATCAAAATATAATACACCTTTAAATAATATCAAGAAATAGGGTTTCAATACTAGAAGTCTAAGTGACCGTCTTAAACATATTTTTATCTTTAATTATAAAATTTTGAGCTTAAGAAATAGTATAGATCGAGGAGATATATGAAAACTTGAAAATCTTGGAAATTGACGGTCCAAAAATGTGTTACAAGATATATTACTTCCAGAATATGAAATCCACTTTTTTCTCATGTCCATGCATCTTGATGCCGAGATGATTAATTTGAGGATATTTGAACATCAAAACTACCTCCTTTAGTGAAATTTTAGTGGTCGGTACTAAGAGGTGGGTACTAATTTGATTGTTTAGAGCCCCGGCTCTATATAAACTTTTTCCTTAAAACTATTGGTCCCATTTTTTAATTCATGGAATCACTTTACCATTTGCCGCCTTCAGGCTTCATCGCAACTCTGTAGGCGTCGTCTGTGTTTTCTCAGTGCCATCACTGTTCGAGGGCTAGAATGGCTTTGGAAAGTGTCCCATGTATCAAGCTAGGAAGCCAGGGATTGGAGGTGAACCCTGAACTAATTTGTTTTTCGTTCTCTTAAAAATTCTACGCAGGAACGCTATCTCAAGACTAATTTGTTTAATTGGAATTGGCAAAATTCTTTTTTCTTTCAGGTCTCCAAATTGGGTTTTGGTTGTATGGGTTTGACTGGAACTTACAGTGCCACCTTAGCAGAGGAAGACGGAATTGCAGTCATAAAATATGCTTTTGAGAGGGGCATTACATTTTTTGATACTTCAGATGTATATGGAACTAAATCCTTGAATGAAGTCCTAATTGGAAAGGTATGATTCGTATGAACAATAGACTATTTTTCTTTTGATTTGTCATATTGTTTGCTGTTATGAACTGCTCTAATGTACCTCATGACGGGACACAAGAAAAGCAAATGAGGGCCCTGTTTTTGAGTTAAACATTGCAAAAATGAATAACAGCACCTCAACAACATCTAATGCATTTGAAAAGCTTTCTTCTAAAACGAAAAACGCTTTTCAAAGTGTTAAAAATTGATTTCTTCAAAAATAACTAGTTGTAGGTGAGCTTTTCCTTATAGATTAGTTTGTTGAGAGAGTTCGGTGTATTGATTACTACTTGCTAACCTTCAATGATTTTTGTTGCTTTTAGGAATTTTAGGTAGAGCATCCCCACCAGTAGTGAGGTAACTGGGATAAGGTGTGAGATGAACTTGGTAAATATTACCTGATAAGAAAATGAACTTGGTAAACCATTTTGTTTGCATACATGTACACTCACTTCTTGTAATACAAAGTCAACATTTTTTTAAAAAAGAAGAAGACGATACAGGGTGGGTATGTTGAGCTTCTGCATATGATGCATAAATTTGAACATGGATTTTACATGGCTTGAATAGCCTGCAAGGTTATTTAGCCTCTGTCGCATCTCTTTATCGGTTTTTGTTCTCTCCATATACTTAGAAGCACTGTTGGTCATTGGGTGACTAAGAATGGTTTCAATCATAATTTGTATGAACAATAGAATGATTATATGATGGTTCGTTTATTTTACTAATTGATAGAGAAGTATGAATAGATAAAGTTGCTTATGTAAACTAATCCCCTTTCTCATTTTCCTGTTATCTATTTCTGTTTTCATATATTTACTCCTATCTACAGAATAAATGAATATTTCGATTAGCAATTGTGGAATTGGCATATGTGTACTTCAGTCACTTGTCCTTAGTTGTTCTTGCTGATATCTTTTGTCATTTTCTGAGTTTTTTTTTTTTTTATATCCATGTTGAGAACTGTTTCAGGCATTGAAGCACTTACCTCGAGATAAAGTCCAATTAGCAACAAAATTTGGTATATACATGGTTACAGAAACAGAGCTCGTGGCTAAGGGTACACCAGAGTATGTTCGCCAATGCTGTGAAGCCAGCCTTAAACGCCTTGATGTGGATTATATTGATCTTTACTATCAACACAGGGTGGATACATCATTACCCATAGAGGAAACTGTGAGCAATAGTCATTCCATTTAATTCAAAATTATATGGGTCAGTTGATTGTTACGGATCTTCCTTTTCCTAGAACGGTGTTCATGATACTAGGAATTTATCAAGAATGTGTAATATACTCTCTCTCTCTCTCTCTATACTCACATGTACATATACACAAACACACTATACATACTTATATTTATGTATGTATGTATGTGTGCTTGAAGTAAAAGAAGCTTTGAAGAGGATGAAGATAGAAAAGACTTTGGGACTATACATACTTATATTTATGTATGTATGTATGTGTGCTTGAAATAAAAGAAGCTTTGAAGAGGATGAAGATAGGAAAGACTTTGGGACCAGATGGTATCCCGATAGAGGTTTGGAAGTGCATGGGGAAGATTAGCATCTGTCCAAACTGGCGGATCAGGATTCATATAGCTGACTCCAAATAATTGGGAAAAGGCTTTAATGATGATGATGATGATGTATGTATGTGGGAGATGATCATATGATACCTCTCCTAAACAAAAATATTGTGGGACCTCAATCTTCACCATCAGTGGCACCTATCAGTGGCCTACCACAGTTGCTGGACATAATCCATAACTGGGTAAAAAATCTGCCATTGTCCCTAGAGCGAGGTTATGGATCATCTCTGCAATTCATGGTTGGACTGGATATTAGGTCCTGCACATTATGTGACGGATTGGATCTCATAAGATCATTCCCCTATATATTGATGTATATGTCTATGTATGTATTAGATACATGTGTATATACTTGTACAATTTTATGCATCCATCTATAAACATTCTTGACTGCTATCCCAATGAAATTATGTAGATTGGGGAACTTAAAAAGTTAGTGGAAGAGGGAAAAGTTAAATATATTGGGTTGTCTGAAGCTAGTGTGGATACCATAAGGCGTGCACATGCTGTGCACCCAATCACGGCTGTACAACTCGAGTGGTCCTTATGGTCTCGTGATAGTGAAGATGAGATAATCCCTTTATGCAGGTCTGTTCTTTCTTGTATTTATATGCAGATAATTTTCTTTTGTACTTGTAGGAAAGAAATTAGTATGCATTTTATGTATGTGTTATTTCTTGGGTGAATATTTAGCTGTGCATATTTGGTGGGTGCATTGCATGGACTGTTGGTGGTGATTTGTTCCACATGACAGGTTATGCAATAATATTAGGACATAATGCAATCCTATATGAGGCAGTATGTCTCATTGTTGTTAGCACATAGTCTTTAATATCAAACTCTACAAATGACCTTTTTTGTTTGGGGGATAGTGTTGATGCGGTTTTGATAGCTTGAAGAATTTACATCCCAAAAATTTATTGGTGGCAGAATACCTAATGAAGAATTTTAGTGCAGTTTGTTGACTGGTGATATATTCCTTCTTGCGAATAAATGTCATTTTGCCTGAAATACGTTCTCAACTTTCATGAAGTATGTATTTCAGATTTCAAGAATGCACTTTTGATCGCCATCTAAAAGTCTGTTTGTTTACTATGGAATAAATATGCCAATATTACCCCATTTTGGCTCATACTATTTGAAAATTATATTGGATGCCAGTTAAATCTTTAATATTATTAAACCACATATTTAAGCCCTTTCATTGTTTTTCCTTCATTTTTAACATATTTTTCCTCTATGCATTGCTAGAGTCTGTGTTCTTTTACCGCTATTCCTTATGGTCATTAAAATGCTTGTGTGCTATACTAAAGAGTATAGGGAAATTTGTCAAAACACACCTAAAAAGATGCACTATTTAACATTTCACTCATTCCTGTTGTCCTGCTTTCAGAAAGCCCATCAAGGAGCACACCATTGGGGCTCAAAAATTGATGGAGAAGCAATTTCAAAATTTTCCAAGTCATAAAAACTAAATTTTCTTCCCATGGGAGTAGAACTTAAATTTTCTCTTTAGGCCAATGACCTAATTTAGAGTATTCCGTTGGTATGAAATTTCAGCATCCACTTTAGAATAGTCATATGAGAATCATCATCATCATCCGAGCCTTATCCCAACAATCATACAAGCATATTAAAAAATAAAATTTGATAACCTATTCACATGTATTTGATCATCCAAAAATTGGACGGTCTGTGTAGGGGTTGGATTTGGGTCGATCCCGACCGAGACCCTTCTTGACTAGGTCTAACTTGGAGCCAAACGTGGATGGGTTCCAAGTCATTAGGAACCGTACCCAACCCAGTCCTAGTCTGGAAATAAAAAAAAAATTTATTTATTTTTGTATTTTTGGTTACATATAGTTAATATTATGTTACTTATATATTTTATACTTATGTATACCGGGTCAGCTTGCGGTGAAGTTAGAGATCTGGCAGCACAACACTCCTCATTATTGAGGGAGCTAGTAGGGAGCACACACATAGGTGTGCGATATATGCACTCATAATAGCAACACCTATCAATTACATGTCTCGGTCTGTTACCCAATCCTCGCTAAATTGGCATTTAAACGAGCAATACGGCGTTTAAAGCTCATCGTAGTATCTCAATACATAAACAAGACAAACTCCTCATACACGATGTTTCTCTTAAGAACCTTATTTCATAGCTAGTTAAGAAATAACTACGGTCGGATTAACCCCGACCTAAACCATAGGGTCCAAGTCGGATCCAGACTTGGACTTGACCTGCTGGTTCCAACACCTGGACCCAGACCCTGCTCGGGTCAACCCACCGGTCGGCGGATCGACCTGAGCCAATTGCCACCCCTAGGTCTGTGTGCAATCATGGGGTGTAAATTTCTTTTATTTACGCATCTCCAAGCTGCATATTGAGGTTTGCTTTCTCCTTTTAGGGTGGTTGCTAAGTTATGTCACATCCTGTGGGAGCAAATGTACATTGGAGCATGTAATCTTTTCAGGACTACTTCGGTTTTGATGGATGGGCAAAATTGAAACTTTTCACTTGAACAATTTACAACCCATTATTGACCCATTATGACATGCTCTTTGTAGACTTCTGAAATTCGGACAAAAATAATGGGTGAAATGTAAACTAGTACATATCGTGGGAGTGGTTTGATGAATTCCAAAAAATACAAATATGTACTTATATGCTTGGTGCCTTGTCAATTGCAGGGAACTTGGTATTGGAATAGTGCCCTATAGCCCCCTTGGTAGTGGCTTCTTTGCTGGGAAGGCAGTTGTGGAAAGTCTGCCTAAAGAAACTAGCTTGGTATGACCTTGCTTCTGGCTTAGTACTTCTTTTTAAATATATATTTAGCATTTTGTTAACTATTGTACAGAGAAAAGTTGTGAAATTGCCAAACTGTCAAGCACCCCACTCCTCTCCCGGTCCCCTTAAAAAACAAAAATTATATGCCTATCAGTAATTTGTGTTGGGTATTTTCTACATTTGCTTGAATATGCCTTTCAGTAATTTGTGTTGGGTATTTTCTACTTTAATTTAGAACTCTATTGACTTAAAACAGGCAGCTCATCCAAGGTTCAAGGGAGAAAACCTTGAAAAGAACAAGATCATATACATGCGCCTTGCAAACTTGGCTACTAAATATGATTGCACCCCTTCTCAACTGGCTCTTGCATGGGTTCTCTATCAAGGCAATGATGTGGCTCCTATCCCAGGTAATCCATACTCTGTTTCTTGTACTTATTCCATCATTTATCAGCCTCTCAGGTGATACCAATGCTAGCATGCTGGATTCTCATCTGCAACATGTAGCTCTGATCTAACTTACAGCTTACCGTAATATACATGTAGCTCTGCAACACTGAGCTTGGTGATGCATCATGTGAAGTATTAAATGGAAAGTGAGAGTGAAAAAGGAAAGTGGGATATGGTGGCGAGATGCCATGAAGAGTGATGAAAGGGAGAGAATTTAGGATGAAGGGAAGAGAGAAAAATAGATCTTCAAGATGTTTCTTCCTAAAATTCTCTTGAAATGTTTTCTTCATAAATTTTCCTCTCTTGTTTCTATTGAAGCTGCCTCTCCCTCTTCCTCTCTCGGTAACTTGCCCTCCTCCAAGGTTTTTTTCCTCCTACATGCTCTCTCTCTCTCTCTCACACACACACACATGCTTGCATGTGCTTGCTCACACTTCTCGGCATGCCTTGCATTGAGATGGGCTACTACCTGTCATACAACTATATCTCATTATTACGTATGGATATGTTTGTGATTCGGCCTAAAGGTAAGACTGGCTTTCATTTTATTTCCCTTGTCTTTTGTTTTATGGTTCTCCCAATGAGTCACTGATAACGCGATTAACTTCTTTGCATTTGGGTGCATCTCCAGGGACAACTAAGATTAAAAACCTCGATGAGAACCTTGGGTCCTTGAAGTTGAAGCTTTCCGAGGCTGATATCAAAGAAATTGCTAATTCTGTGCCCATTGATGAAGTTGCGGGTTCCCGAGCCTGGACTAACGCACACAATTCCCTTTGGATGTTTGCAAATACCCCTCCAAAATGATAACCGTTTGCGTGCTCAGTGATTAAAGACTTCATTTCTTATTGCTTGATTTTCTGATAGTTGTGATGCTTACCTCTTATGGGTGTATATGTTATGTGGTGAAAATTGTAGGATTTTGCTATTACTGCAAAACTGTATCATCAACATGAACATCTTGCTAACATTTATTCTCTACTAGTTACAGATTGTGTTTGCTGTGCATTCTCCCAGAAAGCTGAGAAAGAATGGACACTGTACATGTGTCTATATCAGAAACACCATTACATGTGGCTATGTAAGAAACACGATGGGATTGTAGCAAAGGGACTTGATGTAGAGTTGAACGCTTTAACTCACTGGATGACCTCTTGGCAGTGCCTTCAAATCACGAGAGCATGCAAACCAAGAACATAAAGTATAGAACGATAGCCACCAAGACTAGCAATGGGACTGTTAGAATATATCTTTCCAATGGTATACGGACGAAAATACGATTATTCATATGTTTTCAGAGACCACCGAGCGCTGGAGAAAGAACGAATTCTTCTTTCTTCATTCACACGCAATTCTAAAATCGAATAAGCACATATATACATAGGTGAGAGATAATGTGAGAAAATGTCTCGACAAACGGTGAGATCTTAATGCTCCTAATTCTTTCCTCCTAAATACTTTTCTGCTAACTAAAGCTATCAATCTTATGATGTAGAAATGATCCAGTCATGGAATGACTTAATTTGGATTTTTTAGGTACTTTAATTAAGGTTTATATTTTGGGGATTTTTAAGAATTATGTGAGTTTAGATTATTAGGGTTATTTTAATTATTTTGTTTTGTTGAGGGTTATATTTTGGAGATTTTTAAGAATTATGTGAGTTTAGATTATTAGGATTATTTTAATTATTCTTTTGTTCAGGAATAATCAGTGATAATTAGGAGGGTATGAATTTATATTGTGCTCATCTTATATCGATTGGGTTCGTTAGTTAGGAATGTAAATAGGAAGCTTTGGATAAGACGTTGGAAGCAAATCTTTTGGGATGTAAAGTTAAAAAGAGGAAAAATAGTGATGAGAGAAAATATGGGGATAGATAAAATAGGAGAGTGCGTGTAGGAGTTTATGAGTTAATAAGAAAAATAGGGATGAGAGAAAATAGGGGAATAGATAAAATAGAAGAGTGCATATGAGTTAATAAAATTTGGTTCGGTGAAAAGATTGTTTTGAGGTGGATTCCGTTTCAGACTTTGAGAGTGTAAGTTTTCCAACCTTTTTTTGGTTTTGTTTTTTCCCTGCATCAATTGATATCAGAGCGATTGATTTGGGGTGGATTCTTTTTAAGACTTTGAGAGAGTGTACGATCTCTCAACTTTTTCTTGGTTTTATTTTCTCTATGCATCAATTGGTATCAAAGGTTCTTTGTTTTATTTTGGTAATGATGCCTTTAATAAAGGCATCTCTTGAAAGGTTACATTTGTAGATTATAATTGTGGTTGTTGACTTAGGAAGTTCAATTTATTTATAGTTGTGTTTGTTAACTTGGGAAGTTTAAGCCCTAATAGAGAAAGTAGAAAAACTCATGCCTTTAATTGATAGAGTAGAAGAGAAGTTCGTTCAGCTTTAGAGTGAATAGAATTTGGAAGGTAACCTTGGAGATCAAGGCAATGAAGATGAAGGAGGTGATTTTCATTTTTTTCCTATTAAAAACAATATTCATCATTATTCCTATAAAAAACGAGGTGATTTTCATCTTTTTCCTATTAAAAACAATATTCATCATTATTCCTATAAAAACCGAGGTGATTTTCATCTTTTTCCTATTAAAAACAATATTCATCATTATTCCTATAAAAAACGATATCAAAAACGATATTCTTGAGATCAAGTTTCCTATCTATGTTAAAAATCATGTGGAAAATCTTCTATGGAAAATCTTATACTAGAGAAGAGGATTTTGAGAATATCAAGTTTCCTATGTCAAAATTCATGTGGAAAATCTTATATCAGAGAAAGGAGGATTTTGAGGACAATGTCAATCACAATTTTGTGGAAAATTCTATCGCATGTGGAAAATCTTATATTAGAGAAGGATAGGACAATGTCAATCACAATTTTGTGGAAAATCCTATCTTAGAGAAGGTGTTGGATTTTGAAAACAATGTCAATCACAATTTCAAATTTTGAAGACAATGTCAATCACAAGCTCGCTCACAAATGATGAAAGGATGGTTGAGTTCGAAATATTTGCATTAATCCCTTGTTCTTCATATTTTGATCCTTTGACGTATGAAAACCATTGATATTTTTAGAGCCAAAGGAGAAAAAGGTAAAAGAAGGATGGAGGATTGGATTTTTAATTTGGATTTTTTACGTACTTTAATTAAAGGTTATATTTTGGTTTGGGGATTTTTAATTAAAGGTTATATTTTGGTTTGGGCATTTTTAAGAATTATGTGAGTTTAGATTATTAGAGTTATTTTAATTATTCTTTTGTTTTTGTTTATTAGGGTTATTTTAATTATTCTTTTTGATAATTAGGAGCTCATGAATGAGCATGAATTTATATTGCGTTTATCTTGTATCGGGTTAGTTAATTTGGAATTAATTTGTATTGTGTTTATCTTGTATGATGTTAGTTAATTTGGAATTAGTATTGTGTTTATCTTGTATGGGGTTAGTTAGTTAGTATTGTGTTTATCTTGTATGGGGTTAGTTAGTTTGGAATTAGTATTGTGTTTATATTGTATTGGGTTAGTTAGTTTGGAATTAGTATTGTGTTTATATTGTATTGGGTTAGTTAGTTTGGAATTAGCATTGTGTTTATCTTGTATCAGGTTAGTTAGTTTGGAATTAATTTATATTGTGTTTATCTTGCATCGGGGAATGTATCGGGAACCTAAATCTGGAATTTAAATAGAATAAGGTTAAATCCAGAGGGAGTTTTATCATCTTTTCATAGGTGGGTATTATTGTGTTTATCTTGTATGGATTGTTAGTTTGTATAGATTGAGTTAGTTAGATTGGAATTAGTTAGTTTGGAATGTAAATAGATGGGTTAGTTAGTTTGGAATTAGTTACTTTAAAATTTAAATAGGAATAGGATAAGTTTAAATCTTTTCAATAATAGGTGGGTTTATCTTGTAGAGTAGGTTAATCCGTTTGGAATTTAAATAGGATAAGGTTAAATCTAAAATGAGTTTTATCATCTTTTCAATAATAGTAGGTGGGTTTATTATTGTGTTTATCTTGTATATAGATTGATTTGGAATTTAAATAGGATAAGGTTAAATCTAAAAGGAGTTTTATCATCTTTTCAATAATAGTAGGTGGGTTTATTATTGTGTTTATCTTGTATATAGATTGAGTTGAGTTAGTTTGTATGGATTGAGTTAGTTAGTTTGGAATGTAAATAGGTGGGTTAGTTAGTTTGGAATTGGTTACTTTGGAATTTAAATAAGATAAGGTTAAATCTTTTCAATAATAGGTAGGTTTATCTTGATAAGGATAAATCTTTTCAATAATAGGTGGGTTTATCTTGTAGGGTTAGTTAGTTTGGAATTAGTTAGTTTGGAATGTAAATAGGTGGGTCAGTGTCACACCCCAAGAAGTTACAATACTGATATTCCTAAGATGTGACAGTCAAAACATATATACATCTCTTGATAGGACAAATTTACAGTGGCGAATTCTTACATGGTAGCAAAAGAAAGTTTAATCACAACTACAATATCTTTCAAGGTTGATCTTGACGAGCACTCAAAATGAAACCGCAGTTATCCTGAAAAAATGTTTACCATAGTTTGATGAGTTTGGCTACTCAGTAAGTGATCATCATAATCCTAAAAATAATCATGGTTGAAAGATATCAATATTTTCAAAAAGGAGATCTATTAACAGAAATACATTAACAGTTTCACTTTCAATAAATACATAATTAAGTATAATCCGAATAATTGAAATGCATATAACACTTTAACGGCTGTGCATAATTCAAAAGATTTCACAAAATTACCCTACTGGATCTCAAATAGGTCACCTATATACCCCATCAGCGTCCTGATGGGTCCACTTAATCCCTATCGGCGTCCCAAATAGGTCCACTTAATCCCTGCAGGTCCACTTATACCTCACCGGCGTACGTTCACTTAATCCCTACCGGCATCCCGGATAGGTCCAATTATACCTCACCGGCGAACATGATGAGTCCACTTGCATACTTAAATTATTTTTAAATCTCTTTAAACATTCGAAAGCAGCAATATCATGTACTCAACATATCACTGAAATCATT